TACATTTTTGAGTATGTATGGGGAATTTCTAGTTAATCCAATAATAAATATGGCAGTTAGAGACCTGCTAAGAGTAACATGTCGCCGGCTGAGGCGGGATCGGCCGACGCGGGAAACGCAGCAATCACAATTTTGTGTTTACACGTTCATATTTCAATTGTTTACCAACCGATTTTCAAAATTCTTACACCATAAGATTGCCTGTACAGTTCTTAGTCTTCTCACAAAATTTGACGCGAATCGAACGTAATCAGCGGTAAGGAGCGCGATGTAAAGACGGAACCGTTCCGTTCCGTCCCGGCACAGTCTACAATTCAGGCGGCGGCTAGCGGTCGGCGCCGGCTGCCGAGTCGCCGCGTCGCCGCGGCGACAGTATGTTCACTTTACACCGCTATTACTAGACCAGTTGTGAACCGATTTTCTTCTTGCTTGCACGATGAGATGTGCAATTCAATTTTGGACAGGTAGCTATAATTAATTTCGCATTAATACCATGAGATATTGGCGAAAAACAGGAGGGGTGGGGCGAAATTCACTCTTCCCCCTCCACTGCCCGTGCTAACATACGTTTGCATAGGTGCCATTTTCTTCAAAACTTATGAATGGCCCACTCTAATTTTTTCACAGGTTGTTAAGAATATGGTAGGCAATAAAATATATGAAAATTAGCCCAATCGAAGGTGACGTGTTTTTTGCTATTTCAATTTTTGTGCTTAAGAACAGAGTTAAGCAAATTTCAAAGTCATATATTTAAGTAGGTGCAATTCTGAACAAATGCTTAAGAAATTACCTAAACAGTAAGGTTTATTTCATTCAAATCAAACAAGTACAACCAAAGTTATGGCCGTTCAAAAATATAAAGATGCAACATTTTGTAAAAATTCGATGCCCTATATTTAGAAGACCTGTGGTCAGAATGTGCAAAAAACATCAATGTAATGTTCGGGGCGACACAGGAACTCGCTCACAAATTTATAATGAAATCGCTGATGGTAAGGTGCAAAACAGCCGATTTTTGTTCGATTTGACGTGGAATGCCCCTGTAGTCATTTGAATTCAGACTGTCCCTTGCGCTAGTCAAGGAAAAAAGAAATATCCTACGGAGCGGCGGCATCAAATCAGAGGATGAAAGATACCGACGATTGTTATCTGTGGGAAAAAGACGAGTTCTCCGAGTGCCGAACGAGCAGACCGATGATCTTTTTCCGGTCAGGGGATTATCGGGACGATTAAACTTGATGCTGGTCAGCGATGAGGAAGGATCTTTGCCAAAGACGACTTGATACTTGATAGTGATGTGTACAAGACTACAAGTGCTTTTTCATGGAACCTTTTGAGCTAGAGGTGCTTTTGCTTTATCTCTTATAGCCGGTGCAATACCTAACACACTCCAACACACCTATGAAGTGAGGATGTGACAATAATATTTAATAGGCTAGAATATCCAAATGTCTTCTTGGAATGTCCAGCCCTTTCTCAATTCGGTCCCACTCAATGAAGCGTTTTCATTTGACTTACAAATTACCAGTTCTGGCACCTGTTACCGGGGCCGATTTTCACCTTTACCATTCACCCGGAGGTCCTAATACCCTCACACAAAGGACGACAGAAGGCCAGGCCAGTGGACCGTGCCACCGATGACGTCACGTGGCGGCCCACTAATGACGTCACCGGGAAGCGGTCACAGCTGGGGCGCCGTCCGAGCGATGGGGCGGGCCGGCACCGACGGGGCTCGGTCGCGTCGGTACACCTGGCGCCGGTGGTTACGGGCCGCCCTGTCGGAATCACGGGGCGTAGCCGACCCAGGGGCTGGGCGGCCACCAAGTCTGGCAAATGAGGAGCTGGGGGTGGGTGCAAGGGCTAGGACAGACGCTGGAGTCAGAGTAGATGTCGGTTTAGGTCAGATGTCGGAGTGAAAACACACGCTGAAGCTATAGGGCAGACTTTGCAAGCTAAGGTAAACGTTGAGCTAACGTGAGTATGCGATATTTAGCCAGGGTGGGCATCGGGCACCAAGCTAGGGCTGGGCTAGAGTAAGCGCTGGACTCGATGGCACACCTGAGGAAGGGGTCAGACCCCATGAGCCGGGGTAGGGGAAGGGGACGCCGATCGAACCGAGCCACGTCCGCACCCCTCACGGACCTCGCCAGTGAGGCATCTAATTAGACTCAGAGCACTGTGAATGACCGTGTTGAGGCCATGAAGGACGCTAGTTAGGTATGTAGGTACTGTAAAACTGCATTTTGATCTCGAGTCATGCCGCGACTAAGCTGTCCACGATGGCTTGTATTCACTACACCTACATGGCTAATAAGAATGTTCAACATCTGCTTAAAACCGGTTCAGGCGTAAGCAGAACGGATAGGAAATCAGGTTAATTCGGTTGGCATATTTCACCTGAAAAGGCACATTCTAAATCTTTCCCAGCATGCTTATTCGTGTAGGTATAACGAATACGTACTGAAGCGTACTGAGGCGCCAGAATGCAAAGTATAGATAGAAGTTCTCCTTTTCCTTGTCGGTTCAAATCTGCCATATGAATACTTCCGGGAGATGGTTTTACAGCTCTTGGTGATATCACCCGCGGCCGAAGTGCGATAGCTACCCGCTGCTGTTGAACATATTAATTATGTTACTGAATGTAGCCTGGCAAAAAAAATATTGTTGTCCTTCGCCAAAATAAATGAACAATTGATAATCATTCGTAAAACACCGTTATCTTCCTTTTCTTTGCTTACCTATATGATGGCTCATATATCCTTGAACGTAGAATGTCAGTCTCATTATTTATGGTATCGAGTAGATACACTGTATAGCAGTTACAGAAGCGGACAGCGTGAATTGTGAAGCCGTTCAAGGGCTAGGAAGCCTCGTGAACGTGTCTCCCCCCCCTCCCCAAGCCCGCGAGTCTTCCGAGGATGACATAACGCCAGCGTGAAGCGGACGACAGCCTGACAGGCCGACAAGCGAACACCTTCGCGAAACATCGGTGGGTGGCGGGCTATTTTTCATTTGATAATTACATAATTACTCTAAAACGTTGTTTATTATCCTACGATTTGATGGAAATCAAATGGAATAGTAACCTTTTGCTCATAACTAAAGTAAGCTGAAAACAAATCCAAAATATATTTTTGGTGCTGGACCTTCTTCAGTGGAAAGCCCCGAAAATATATTTTGAATTTGTTTTTAGCTTACTTTAGTTATGAGCAAAAGGTTACTATTCTATCTGATTTCCATTTTAATCCTAATCATGCTCAAAAAACGTTTTACACCATTCAATTTTTAGAACCAGATTCCTACGATTTGCATGAATTTACTTGTGCTGTGCCTATCAAACAAACTGCGATTACTATGCGAGTCCCTAGTTCGGGACCGACGGAACATTTTGTAAATGAAACCAAGCGACTCAGTGCTCTGTTCTATTAGACATCTGGTTCATGTATAAATAATGAAAATTATGTATAATATTATGTAGTCATTATTCATTGCTCATAATGTCAGAAGATGATGCATCTGATAATTGTCTCACTTTCCTATTACTCCCGTGTTCCTATGTCTCGTGTAGGTAAGCCGGGAAACTCCAACCGTAAAACTCGTCCGTCTCAAGCACTGTCACCCTGACCATCGTGCAACGGGGCTAACGGTGTCCCCCTCCGTCGGCGTGCAGACCTGCAACCCGCGAGGTGACAATGCAGTTTGCAGCTAAGAATTCGGCTGGTTCCATGCATGTCGGAGCTGCAAACTGCTATTGCTGTCGTGGGGAGATCACGTCTAAATCTTCATTGACTTTTGGCGGTCGGTGTATTCAAATGGATGTACGAGTAGATTTTAACTTGTAGCGCTTGCGTCTTTATTCTAACGGATTTATACCGATTGAGCCAATCCAAAATATACCGATGAGTGCAAGCAATTTATAGACATGGGATAAATAATGCCAATGAGCATAATGGGCCTTATGCCTGACCTGACCTCGTATATGTCACGCGAACGGAACGGCTCTGTCTCTGAACGCGACTGAGCCGAAACGAAACCTTACAAATCTGGCCGATTCGAGAATCGACCCGGTTCTCCGCCGGACAGAATGTGATCAGGAAAGACGATACACTCGAAACAATGACTGAACCGTACCCAACCGCCCTTTGCACGGCAGCGTGCAGTGTGCATTGTTGCAGAATGCAGGCTCTCTGTTTGTTTAAACAAGTGTAGCGAGACACGTTTCTGACTCGTGCTGTGCTGGAAGAATGACCAACGAGCTAGAAAGCTGACATTCGTTAGCGCGCTTTCACATATCAGCAGCTGAGAACATCTGTCCGTCATTTCTGACTCATCAGCTGTTCTTTCTGCTTCTGTCTCCATGCTTCTGTTCGCTACTTTCTCTACGACTGCCTGGTCCACGTCTTATACCTACCTTTCGATTCGCTCCTGCCTTATAGGTTTTTTTTTTTTTTGTTAGGTTAGGTCCTTTCGGTCCAATGAGACCATTTCAGAGCCGGGAGGATGATAGGATATAGGGGGAGACATTGGTCTGGGCAGGCACCCTAGTGAGTCGCCGGGGTTGAGCCCGTCCAGAGGACAGGCCACCCAGCCCCAAAGCACTCACTGCACCCGGCTACGGGGTGCGCTCCCTCGGGAGCAGCGGTGCTGCTCCAAGGGAGCAGCCCGCATGAGATAAAGTTGCCTGTCCAGCCCGGAGGGGGATCGAAGCGTGGAGGAGAAGGATTTCAGTATCCTGAGGATAGAAGCACGGAACGGTGCCTTATAGGTATGAGTCAGTATTTATATGTGGGTTTAACCATGCGTCTGTGTTTCTGTTCCCTTGCTTGTAATTGCATTCTTCTTTCGTCTCGCCCATGTGCCCTGCAAGCCTGATCTCATGTATCCCCGGTCCTTCTGTGCACACCCCAAGTTAGTGTGACTCGAGAGGTGCCTCCCTTCCTTTCTGCCTTCCCAGTCTGTCCCGTATGTGCCTCGCACTGCCTCAGCCAGCCCTGCCTCACCTCCGAGACCGGCAAGTCGTAGCAGTCGGCGATTTTCTGGTAGAGCTCCTTGACATTGGTGAAGCCGGAGATGATGCCGGTGGGGCTTCCGTGCGCCAGCTGGCAGTGGAACACGAGTTTGGGCCGCGCCGGCGACTCGGGCCGGCGCTCCTGGCCGGGACCGGGGCTGCCGCCCGAGCTGCTGCCGCCGTCCGAGCCCGAGCGGCCGTTCACGGGGCTGTCGGCGTCGCCGCGCCGCCGCGGACGGTTAAACAGCGGCATCGCGCGTGCCGGAAGTGTGACCGGAAGTCAGCCGCGGGCGGGGGGCATCCGGCGCCGAGTGTCGCGCCGCGGGCCGCCGGACCGCGTCCTCGCCGGCTGAACCGCCGCGCAGAGCGGCACGACCAACCAACCGGCCGGCGGACGGGCAGTGGACCGGAACCGACCAGCCGCCCAGCACAGCGAGGGCGACAGAAACACACCGGTCAGACGACCGACCGAGCGGGTACGGCTCACCCTGACACTCAAACACACACTGAGACACGGGCGCGGCACTCGCTAGGGTTCACTGTCGCTGGCGACACCACGGACCACCCGGCTGGACGGAGCAGCGGCGCGGACACGGCAGTCGGCGCTCTCTCTGTGACTGGTCGGCGCAGGTGCCGTGCCGCCGGGTTCACGGCCCGGCACGCCTCACACACCTGCCGTCCACGGTCGGCGCTGGCGACCTGCCCGCCACCTGTCGTACAGGTAAGGAAGCTGTAGTTCTACGGACTGGCGTGTGGCGCTGAGGGTCAGCGGCGCATGGCTAGTAGGTGGCGCTGTGTACCGTAGCGTAGCGCTCGCATAGGGCGAACATTGCTGGAATGCTACTGGAACTGAACAATTGACATACCATTGATAACGGCATGGATTTATCTGACGCCCACGATAGGTGCCTATTATAGGCAGGTTATTAGATGCCTGCGGTTACTTCGCCTGATAAGATATAAATCTGCAATTTTGCCATGGGAAATTGGCTGAGTTCGTCGCTTCCGTCTTGATTGATGCTCTTCGAACCACTGCTTATGAAAATTGAAAACGCAAAAGGGTTTTACCATAAGCTAATTTTTCCACCGACCCCATTGATGCATCGGCCGTTATCGACAATTTAATAGACAGTCACGACTGAATTTTTCCTTTGTGTGGAAGCGCTGAGCTCACACAAACGTGTCACAGTAAGAATGAACCAAAACGACATTAAAATCAATGACTAGAGAACCTATTGTGATGCCGAACATTTAGAATATTGAATGCGGTTGCGTGGCCTCATTAGTGGGGGACACATAAACGGTGCGAAGATGGTCTGGGCACGAAGTGATTTGTTGCAGTAGACCGTCGCCAGACCAGACCTATATCGGCTTTCGGCACACGCCCCGGCCGAGGGAAGAGATGCGAACCATTGACGCCATCATGCTCCTAATTGTGTAAACGCTTTGCAAAAACGAACAAGTTTGTGCCCCGCTATGATGAACAGCGACTGGTATTCGATTTTAAGGTCTCATGTTAACCGATGACCTCTGAGGTCAGTAGGTACATGTGCCCCAAGGTAAAGGTACAGTTTTTAGTGAAGAGTTTTCGCCTAGAATGTTATACATTTTACTTGTGAAAAGACAATTTAGGGTGTTGACCTCGGTTCAAAACGTCATGCCAAGGCCGCTCAGGCCAAAACGTCTGCCGAAAGAGGTTAAATTGCATATCATTCGATTTAACATTTTTTTCTGAATCATATTGATGGCGTTTGACTCGCCAACACAAATTGATCGAAAGTTATTGGTTGAAAATTCGGATGACCTAAAGCGACCGTAACACTCATACCTATTAGATGTTATAACATCTACGCAAAGTCCACAGTGCTGGTCACTCACAATGAACACACTATATAGCTGTATGCTGTGCTGCACTAAACTGTTTAGTGTCACACCGCGCAGCCTAGCGTAGGTTTTAGTTAATTATTTTACCGCTCAGAGTCCCTTGAATGATGCTCGGTGCCTCCTATGAGCGATGTTCGTTGACACTCGCGGTTGATCTTGATCGACACTCACGCTCATTGAAACGTCTGCCGGCGCTATCGTGTAAAGTGAAATGTCATGTTGGCTGGGGGATGCGACAACAAGCTAACGCTGACAGATGGAGGGCCGTCAGATGGCACATTAACTTGGCAACTTAATTTGGGCGGAGACGAAAGATGTGGGGTGACCATGCTTATGACTTGTTAACGGTCATTATTCAGCAGAATTCTTCACAAATTATTCAATTAGATATATTCAGCTATGCTATAGCCTATATAAGCCATAAAAGATACACCTGCTAAATGTCTTGGTTTTCCTTTATAGCATCTCTCTCTTCCTCTCTCTTTCTCTCTCTTTCTCTCTCTCTCTTTCTCTCTCTTTCTCTCTCTCTCTCTCTCTCTCTCTCTCTCTCTCTCTCTCTCTCTCTCTCTCTCTCTCTCTCTCTCTCTCTCTCTCTCTCTCTCTCTCTCTCTCTCCCTCTCTCCCTCTCATCAGCCTAGCACATACTTCCAACGACGAAGAGTCGTTATACGGCAGATGACCGTTGTTCGTTCTCGTCCAATATCGGGCCCACTTGATAGCAGTCCATGCTGCCGAAGAGAGATTCACAGCGTCTGCTGTTCAGTAAATGACCGATATTACATGGCCATCAGCCTCTACTTATGATGCTCTCAGGATTTTCAACACAATAGTGAAGTGCAAAATGGACAACAACCAGCTATTGAGAAGAGTTTATTAAGTCGGCTACAGCTTTCTGTGTACCTATCAGCTCAACTCTCTACTTTCATATTAAATGTTGTGTATCTAATAATTTTATAAATGCTTTTTACTGGTTTTAGCGACTGCACAAATGTTGCTGGGTTGATGATTTGATGTACTTATTAGTTAATATATATTAAACCGCGAGTAGGTAGAACAAATCTTTTAAACGTGGAGCCGATAGGCGAGACGATTAAAATATTTTTTCTACCTACGAGCGGTTTCATAATTTATCCCGTACCGCCGATATCTTTCGGGCGCTTAAAGGTAAAAAACAACAACACATTTTGTAAACAAAATACATCATAAATCAGGCTAGACAAAATGTCTACTAGACGTTCAACAGTTTATTAATCGTCTACAGCATTTTAGGCGCAATTTCAAAAAGTTAAAGACCAAATTCAAAACGTTCACGTGCATTTTGAATGTAATCTTTTTGAATTTGGTCTTTAAATTTTTGAAATTGCGCCTAAAAAGGTGTAGACGTTTAACAAATCAGTTAAAAGACATCTGATAATTTTCTCTATTATAATAGCCGTTTTCACGACGGGCTATCCGGCGAATGCACCTAATTTGACCAAATCTGCACCTAATTTCTTTTACAGCAAATATCTTCATTTTATGAATTCATTTCAGTGTTTTAATCGATGCTCTCTGATAATATGACAAAGCAGGCATATAAGCAATTAGTGCAACCCTAGCTGATAGCTGCTAAGAGACACACTGAACCTGATTTGACCAAATCTGCACCTAATCTGTACCAGATGTGCACCAAATGTGTACCAGATGGCCGTCGTGAAAACGGCTATTATCACGTAAAGCAATCGTAAACACTGTCTACGGTGAGGGATAACTGATATTATCTTGCACCCGCACCGTAGACAGTGTTAACAATTACTTCACGTGCAAAGAGAGAAAATTGTCAGATGTTTAACTGATTTCTTAAACGTCTAGACGATTATCAAACTGTTAACCCTCGCCGGCACAGGGGGGGGGGGGGGTTGATGCAACCCCCCCCCTAAGATTTTTCGCGAATAACTCGCGTAAAAAGCGGCCGATCGCGACGAAACTTTCAATACCCTCGCATTGATCAATTTTACACCTACCCTGAAAATTTCATGACCCTGACCCCAATGACCTTTGACCTGTGACCTCTTTTCTGTGACCATGTTTGGCCGAAATCGCGGTTCGGCGCATGTCGGCTCGCATTAGCCGCGCGTTTGCAAGCTTTTCGTGGTTTCAAACGTTCAAACATGTGATTTGATGTTGCTCCCATGCATTAGGGTGGGTGTCAAGGTCACCTGAAGGTCAGGTCAGGTCATTGAACTTTGGTGACCTCGGGTGACCTCGGTTCACTTTTTCGAGTTTTACATGTTTCTAGGCTAGTTTTTGGAGCTGAATTCGAATTTAGCAACCATTTGAACATTTACGAAGTAGTTTTGGTGCCTTCGTAAAACATGTTACGAAGCTGTCCGAGGCGGTTGACACGTCCCCGTTGGGGTCTGCCGAGCAACGTGCGCTGTTGGGGGGGAGGGGCAATTTGCCCCTGCCCCCTAAGATCTCGATAACCACGCAACATAGCGACAAACAGCAAACGGTGTTGGATAGCCGCAACGGGGAACTACCTTTTGGCCCAATTTCATTGACCTAGGTCAAATCGATGACGTCACAGGTCAGGTCAAATGTCGAATTTTCACCGTTTACAGCATTTCAAGAATTGCGTTGTAAAATTGAGTAAAATGCATTTCATTTTAAGTTCATCGATGGGGTATTGTTCAAACACATATTTTGCTGTTTGAGGTCACTGATACCAGGTCAGGTCACAGAAGTCAGGTCACTGAGGGTCACAATATGAAAATATCATGTGATGCATGTTTTATGGTCCATTTTATAATATAAATGGGTATTATGCATAAAATGGGTATCGATTTGATGCAGCTCGTCACGGGGAGGCCAATGGTTATCTTTGTTTTGCGCTACGTGCTCTAGAATTAATTGGCAAAAATTAAGTTCAAAAACATGACTTAATCATTTTTGAACAGTTTTTTTTTTTTTCGCTATAACTTGGCCAAAAGAGAGGTATTGATCTAAAAATTGGTATGTAGATAGAGGAGCGCAGGGACTATCACATATATTCCGTTTTTTTTGAAATTAGAAAAAACTTCTGTTTTTTACGTTTTTCTAAACAAAAATCCATTTTTTAATTACCTATTGGGGGTCAAAAATCCCCAAAGTTAGGAAATCAGAGACTACAGTTTTGTAGCTCCGTTTTTACTCTACATGACCATATTAAGAACTTTGAATTTGCTCTGTAACTGTAGCTTTTGTGAGCGTTTCGAGATTTCATGTTTTTTGCTCAATTCTGCTCGAAAATAACCTCAGTTTGACCTCAATAACTCCTGACCTAAAGTGACCTAAGACTTAAAAGTTTGTGTGGGTGTGTCATATTGATGTCCGGTAAGTTACTGAAAATTTGGCGGCGCCGCGCGCCCCCATTTTTGCTATTCAGGAAAAACCACAGGGGGGGGGCAAATTGCCCCCCCCCCCCCAGCGGGGCGAGGGTTAAAAGTTTTCCGGTACTTTCTGAGAAGACATGTGCTACATTGTTCATACATTGATGTAAATGACGTGTATTAGAATTTAGAGGATATCTTCAAAGTTGGTACTTTCGCAATGAGGCATGAGACATTGTTCGTAAGAACTCTGAACTGGAACACTAGGTCGGATGTTGAATGTTGATGTTATAAATTTGCTCGCTGAGACCCTTCCGAACATCACGTGATATTCAACTTATCTTGAACCGTCTGATCTCCTGAGCTCAAAGACAGCAAACCATCAGAGCATGATTT